CCCAACGCCCCCCTCCTGATATCATGACATTGGGGGTTAGTCCATCACAGCCCTCCTCCACCACGTTGACTCCTGTCTGCACCTGTGAGTGGCTGACAACAGAACACGTAGCCCTTCTTTGCTTTCCAGAGTAAGTTGTGGGAAAACAAAGGGAATGTTTGATTTATTTCTCAACCATAAACAGTTGAAGATTAGGCCTTGTCAGGTTTCAGCAGAGAGTGGCTGGATCAATACCCTCTGGAGCAGTGCTTGTCTAACTTGAAAGTGCACACGACCCCGCTGGGGGGAGTGTTACATGACCTTGTTCCGCAGGTCTGGAGAGGGGCTACGATGATTCATGTCGCACAGTGCCCGTGTCGGTGGCCCCAAGACCACACTCCGCAAGCGAGGCACTGGGTTTGGACAGTGAGGTCTGGGAGACCAAGGACGCTGCCTTGTTTCCCATTTTATCCCGTCTTGGCATGACGCCTGGCACAAACGGAGTTCTCAATAAGTATTTGCTGAATTGAATTAATGGGGGACACCAGCTACAAGGACAAATTTTATAGCCTAATTTTCTTTGAGAGTCAGCTCATAGCCCAAAACCAAATGGATAAATACCAACCATAACTAAACATGTGTTTAACCAGCCCTTTGGAGTTTCCCAAGCCCTTGAATTGATGTTAGTTTATTTGATTTTTACTCTTACAATAATCCTCTGAAGAGGAGCTGTTACTATTATTTTTCTGTTATGGATGATAAAAGCCAAGTCAGCAAGGGCAAGTCACTTGCCTAAGGAGAGCTAGCAGAAGGTACCCTGCAACGTGGGTGTTCTGACTCCTGGCTTTTTCCTCTTGTACTTTGCACGAATAGTAAAAACTTGACCGGAAGTAGATTATGTAACTCTTGGTATCGTACAGCTGGAGCCTGCTGATGTCCCTATTCCTTGTTAAGTGCCACACGCTTGGCATAGAGGAGCTAATAATGTGTCTGAAATGTAAGTCTGTGGGTGTGACTGGAGATTTGTCAGAGAACTCACAAGCTCTCACTGGGCTGCTGGACCAAACTCAACTATCTGTGCCTGAAGGCTCTTGTCTCTCCCTCCCAAAGGAAGGGAGTGCATCTATGTTTAGTTTCCCGAAGGATCAGAGATTCCCTCCCCCAGGGCACCATCCCACACACCCTGGGGTCTGCAGGGGCAGGGCAGCTGGCAGGCAGGTCCAGACTGCCTGGCTGCAGAGTGACTGTGGCAGGTCACCACCTCCCCCGAGGTTGCTTTCAGGCCTGTCCTGAGAGAAGGGCGGACAGCAGGGAACTCGGACCTACAGTGTGTCTAGATAGCACGCAGGCCCTGCTGTGCCTTGGGACGTGGGGTGCGCTCACATCTTCTTTTCTCTTGCTAACCCTTGCTTTAGAAATTTCCCTGATGAAGCCTCTTCCAAGACCCATGCCTGGAGATGCTGTGGACTTCATCCGAGCTATTGTTATGGGGGGTGGCAGTCTCAAAGGGACCTCCCTTGACCCATCTTGCCTGACGGAGGGGGTTTGACTGTTTTGTAGGTGGAATCTCAGCTTTCTCTTCTCTTTGCAACACTCACCTATTGCCATTGGCTTTTCATCTGTGGCCTCTTTTGCAAAGCAGACCACAGTTCCGGGTACATAATAGATAGAATAATAGAAAGGCACTGAGTCAACATTTTACTTTTTGTAACCCTGCCCCGACCCCTCTCCTAACCATCTATGTGAGCATATTGCAGTCCAGTCTCTGCAGACCCACCGAGGAGCCTCACTGAAGTTTCCCCACAGGGGAGTCTGGAGGAGTCGTGCAGGCTTCCCGGACTCTCAGGAGAGAGCTTACAGTCCTGTCAGAATGGTTCTTTGTGTATCAAGGAAGAAATTCTGAGCAAGAGTGGGTGACGTCCTGAGGGACAGTGTGGCAGGATTTGTAATCTCTGTAATCTGCCACACGTGAATTCACCCTAAAGACGCCCGGCAAGAACTGTTATTTACATGTATATTACCCCTTGAGGGGTAGGGGGCGTGTATGTGTTTATAATCTACCCTGGGCAGTGGAGAATAATTCCAACTAGGGAGATGCATACTGATGAAAAGTCGGGGCTTCAGGCCCTGGGTTCGAGATCTAGCTGTGCCGTTTAGTTTTTCTTCTTTTCTGTACCTATTGACCAGCCTTTCCCATTTCACCCAGCCTCCCCCACCTGCTCTGGCAACCACAGTATGTCTCTGTGTCCATGAGTTCAGGGTTTTGTTAGATTCCACATATAAGTGAGAGAAATTTGCTTTTCTCTGTCTGGCTTATCTCACTCATCATAATGCCCTCAAGTCCCATCCATGTCACAGATGTCAGAATTTCCTTCTTTTTTATGGATGAACAATACTCCATTGTATACATATGCCATGTTTTCTTTATTCGTCCTTTGATGGACGTGTAAGTCGTTTTCATGCCTTGGCTATTTTAAGTAAAATGCTACAGTCAGCTTGGGAGTGCAGATATCTGTCTGAGTTAGTGCTTTCATGTCCTTTGGACAAAGACCCAGAAGTGGAATTGCTGGGTTATAGGCTAGTTCTAGTTTTAACTTCTTGGGGGTCCTCTGGTTGCACCAGTTTGCATTCCCACCAGCAAGTGCACACGGGTTCCCTTTTCTCCACATCCTCACCAACACTTTGCTCCGTGAGGTGATATCTCACTCTCTTGAGATGTCTGGCGATGTATTTGATTCTGTAAGCCTGTTTGTCTAGAAAAACAAGCAAGTAAGCAATCTCACTTTGTATGTTCATGAGGGGATGGAATAATGCAGATAAAGGCCAGCATGGTCCTGGCACATGGCATCAGCACTCACCGAACGTTAGTTCTTGAGATGGAGTCCATCCCGGAACCCCTTTCATTCTAGGACCCAGTGTTACTCTCGCTTCTGCTCTTCTGCCGTGGTCTGCAGATTATAGAGCAGTTACTCCAAGCCTCCTCAAGGGTTAGAGGCATCGCTTTGATAGAGGACGTCACTGTGGCTCAAAGTTTCCTAGATATGGTTATGGATCTGGCTGACTCTTTTTTTCCTGTCCCCTTTTTCTTCTCTTTCCCATCCCTGATTGCCACACTTCACCAACTCTCATCCTCTCCTGATATTTCTTCAGTTTGGATCTGCCCCATCTGTTTACAGATCAAGATTATCTGTGGCCATGGAGTCTGATTACTGGGTTTTTGTTTCTCCTACTGTTGACTTCCCATAAGCCCAGCCTATTCACCTGACCTTCTCAGATAAACCTCATGCCTCTGATGGGTCTTTTTTTTTTTTTTAATGTTTATTTGTTTTTGAGAGACAGGGAGAGAGCATGAGCAGGGGAGAAGCAGAGAGAGAGAGAGAGAGAGAGAGAGAATCCAAAGCAGGCTCCAGGCTCTGAGCTGTCAGCACAGAGCCCAACATAGGGCTCGAACTCACAGACTGTGAGATCATGACCTGAGCTGAAGTTGGACACTTCATCGACTGAGCCACCCAGGTGCCCCTCTGATGGGTCTTTAAGATGTTGCTAGTATCCTAGATATCACAATGTCCATGTCCCTGTGATGTACTTCTCCCAGAGGTTAGAATGTGAAGAAATCAGGTTGCATTTGTCTGAGTCGTGGGTGGACAGTCCCTACTTAAGTCTGTCTCTTGGTCTCTCCCAGCCACCTAACATCTCCATTTCCTCAGACTGTCAGTTTACCCTGTTGTCCTGGAGAAATTACTCCCAGCATCCTCTTCTTTTTCTCAAAAGTATCTTGAGCTTAGAAGATATATCGTAAGGGCATCCTATATTTTGGGATAGGTATATATTTAAGTTTTCAAGTAGAAAAGATGGTGGATTATCAGGCAAAAACATATTTTTTCAGTACAATAACAAGAATTGTGATAAGGAAAGTCAAATTGAAGTCAATTTTCAAAAACAGTGCTTCAAAGGGTTTTCTTTCTGTAGTGAAAACTAGAATGTGTTTTTATCATAGCAAGCAATGTTTTGGAAAACTTGGAAGAGGCTTGCTACATGATTTACATTCTAAGTGGTCAACCCTTGTTCAGTGGAATAAGTATACACGAGTAAGAATGCTCAAGGGGAAAACACATGCACATCACACATTTTTTGAAGCTTCTGAAACCCTTCTCTTCTTTTTCTCGCTTCCCTTCATGTTACTGGGCAGAACGCATCTTTCACAAGCAGGTGTGAACAAGAAGTCTGATAATACTCAGGACTAGTAAAAGTACTCAGAACTAGGAGGAGCCGGCAGCCCATCCTAAAATTCTGCAGCCATGTTAAGATAGGACTGAGCGGAATCGTGCGAGGAGCTGGGAGAGAAAACTTCCAGCTTTGTTACCATCAGCTGTCTCTACCTGAGCAGAAGAGACGTGAGGTGGTGTAAATGCCACATACTGTCAAGCCACATCAGTGACACAGGGCCACAGTGGATAGAAAGAGACAACGTAGCCTTCACACACAGCAGCCGCAGCTGCGGTAGAAACTCGGGGCTCCCAAGACAGGCCGTTTACCAGGTTCACACATTCTCACTCTGTCGTTCCTCAAGATACATGTCATGTGTTAATCAGGTCCTTTCCTTCTGCACTGTGTAGAAGGGCACAGGGCTGTAATAGAGGCCGGGTGAACGATGCCACCTGGTACCCAGCTGAAAGAGGACGTATAGCAAAATCCCAGAGGAGCTAGAATGGACAAGGAAACAAAGGTAGCTTAATGTTTCCTTTATCAGTTGTCTTCCCATGGACAATCCAGGCTTTATAAGGAGGTTACAAAGAAAAGGCTGGATCCTATTCTTTCATTAAAGCACCATCAGGCCTCAATGTTAAACAAAAGAAGTCTCTCAGATATGACACACTGTAATTTACACCTGGTTACTCGGAATGATGGCGTGATTTATATTCAGCTCTAGGTTGTCTGTCTTTGACATTCTACCCACTCACATCTTTGCATATTCAGAGGCTGTGGGAGCACAAAAATATTAAAATGAAATCCACTACACATTACAGTAGAATGACATGTAATTTATTCATATAACTGACAGTTAGGCAGTACTCAAAATTCATTTAAGTAAGCAAGTGGTTACACAAACATCTAATCATACTAAAATCGATAGTCAGAAGGTATAAAATACCATGGGTATGAAATGCCATGGTAAATACTATTCAACAGACTACAATCATAATTCCAAACGAAATCATGGTCTTTCAAATGATTTTTAGCAGTTTTGGAATGATGTGATTTTTCCCCCCCTCCAAGCCATTTACTTTTTTCACTGATACAAGACAAGGTCATTATTTTCAAGAAATACTACAGAAGGACACACCTTAGGTCCCTCTCTTGCAACACATTTTCTTGCAAATTGTTTTTTTTCATATAACCTCTTGACATTAAAAATAAACCAGTCAGCACTCAGTTCCCCAAGCACAGATGCTTGGATCAGAAGAGTGCCAGGGTGTAACTGAGTTCAGCAAGAGGCAGGCAGTGAAAAATCTTCTGCAGCTTTTGAAGCATGCATACTTCTTTTCTGAGGCTCCAAGCATCATAAACATATTTAGGCATCCAAGCCAGTAAAATTAGGGGGATAAAATAATTTGATATCCATACGACTAGGATACAATCGCAACTGGGGATAAGTTACAGTATAATTCTGCGGTACTTTGGACAAAAACAGCACCTACCTAAATCTGCTTCTCGTAAGCCTCGTTACATCGTCATGAAGCGCAGCTGTGTTTGCAGGAATGGTTTGGTTTATCATGTGTCTGTCTGTATTATTTGCAAGTCATATACTTTAGTGGAATGAGGTCCAAGCGTGAACCCGGCCCGAAGAGCTAGCAGCGGTAGTCATGAGACGGATCAATAAATTAAAAGGCTTTCACAGAACAAGAGTCCGCTAGATCTCTCACATACAAAAGACAGCTAGAGAAATACAGTTCTTCGATGCTGAATGATGAGGGGGAGGAAAACAATCTAAAAAAATAGAAAACTCTCTCCATACTTGGGTGTCAAGGCAAATGTAACACTGCATAATGCCACAACATGAACAGTCACTGGATGGCAGATACTCCAGAAGCGGTGATATCTGGGGATCTGGTAGTTGTGACCCAGAGATGAAAGTACCGTACCAAAAGGCATGCATACAATCACTGTGTGCACTCAGTGTATGAGCTGGGACCTAAGCAGGGAACTAACACGACAATGAGGCAGTGTTCCGGGGGTATCCGTTAAAACCAGTATGCGCGACTACATGTTGATCAAACCTTCTGAGGCAGCGAAGTGTGGGCACAATGCCATGTCTGGGTTCCGCAGCTGTTTTATGATCCTCTTGCGAAATTTCTCCCGCACACGATTGAATTCCATGATGTCCGTGGGGTCCTCTTCAATCCAAAACTTGTGAAACTCGTGCATCAAGTAGCCTGTTACAGAGAAGACAGTGATAAGATTGCAGGAGAAAGAAAAAAGTCCTTAATCACATTCAGAGTCACTGAATGCTGAAAGAGATGTCCGATCAATTGGTCAATTGACGGCAACCCCGGGGCTCAAAGAAGAGGTCGAAATGCAGCAGATACTCCTGTTATGGATTGTTCTTTAAAACCCGTGGCTGAGGAGAGGGCAAATGGGTGACCGGCATTGAGGAGGGCGCTTATTGGGATGAGCACTGGGTGTTGTAGGTAAGCCAATTTGACAATAAATTATATAAAAAAAATGAAATAAAATTCCTGCAGTAGAAACTACCAGTCTGCAAGATTTTTGCGGCTGGTCCTGGGATTATTGTCCCTGTACTGAAGGAGGGAGACAGACAGTTCTGCCGTCTCTGGAATGTGCACCACGTCTGGAGCAGAACCTGAGGGGCTGACAGTGACCACTTCATCCTGCCCCTCCTGATTAAATTAACATAATGCCTGATTTTTCAGAATTACTCCACTCAGCCTTTTTTCTCGTTACTTGATTTGAGAAAAGCTTTAAATTACTCTGACAAATCAAAGAAATGTGTTCTGACAGTCTATTATGAGACAATAAAAATTGTAAATCAACTCTGAACAACACAGAGCAGTCATTAAACTACATGAAATTGTTACTAAGACCTTCTTGCTCTGAAGCATGATGTCCTCTTCAAATACTTCTGTGTCTCAAAAACGTTATCTATGAATAAAATGGATTGGGAACGTTTTCGGAATAAGCGCTAAGTATTGAATCTATTCATTGTGCTGTTATCCCCACTGTGCACCGCCTCCCTCCCCTCCCCCCGCCCCCATTTAGAACTGACATGTGAATAGCTTTTTTTTTTTTCTTTTTTTTTTTCTATTATTTATTTTTGGGACAGAGAGAGACAGAGCATGAACAGGGGAGGGGCAGAGAGAGGGAGACATAGAATCGGAAACAGGCTCCAGGCTCTGAGCCATCAGCCCAGAGCCCGACGCGGGGCTCGAACTCACGGACCGCGAGATCGTGACCTGGCTGAAGCCGGACGCTTAACCGACTGCGCCACCCAGGCTGAATAGCTTTTTAAGAAGACAATAAAAGATACTTGTATGTAGTAAACCTGTAACAAGTTCAAGTGTCTTGTTATATATTAGGAAAAAAGTACTTAAGAAAATAATCGTACTTAAAAAACAAAACGAAACAAAACGTTACAGAAGCTTTTCTTGGTATTAGCATTAGAAGGAGCAAGGATTCCAGAGCCAGAAACCTGGTTAGAATCCTAGCTCTTTCCACTGGGGAGGGAGTGAGCAGAGAGATGATGGGGGGTATGGGAAGAGAATTTTGGAACAAACATGTTAAGTCCTAATAGTAAAAAGTAAAAATTAAAGCCACTTGTTTTTCTACTTATTAACTAGCTACTTACGAGAAAACCTTGAACATTGGTCCACAAACAGATTTTTAAAAATCTCTACCCTATCTTGCTGTAATACAAAATTAGAAGTGACCTTCCTTCCACCCCCAACACACACTTACAGATATTGGTCCACTTGCACAAACTTCCCTGGTTTCTCATTCATTATGCTGTTAAACATGCTTATACATCTTTAAGTATATAGTCTCTCTACAACTACAGGAAGAAAGGTAGTAAGGAGGGAGAAAATTTGGGTTGCTTTTTGTGGGGATTGACCATTGCATTTCTTTTAGGATTAGATTTATATCGGGCCCTCCGCACATAACTGATGTGACTGTTTTCAACATCTCTCCATGGGGACACACATCAGTGCTGACTCAAAGGCCTCTGGGTCACACAGCCCAGGGCCCACTGCCACTGTTAAGGAAACCTGATCACATCTGGGAAACCCCAGATCAGCAATCCCAGGAGCGGTCCTATCCATCCTACTCTATCTGCTGCTTGGATTCCCCGAGGCAGCGTCCGGCCTTGAGCTCTTCTGGTGACAGTGCCGACATTAGCCTGTCCCATGGATGAAGAACCTGGTTTTTAAAGGGATTTTCCTTACACTGGGCCAAAATCTGTTACCCTGTATTTCTTGGAACAAATTCAATCCTTCTCCAACTCACATATTTGAAGTGTCTTTTATGCCCTGAACTTCTCTCTTTTCTAGGCTAAGCATCCCTGTTTCTCCTCACCATTTCTCACAGGCCATGATCAGGAGTCTGCTTATTATTCTGGTTGTTTTCATGCACATCAAGAGGAAGTTGTTTCCTCTAATCTCAATATCTTATTCAACCCAAAGAATTCAATCATGTGTCCATTTCAGTGACTGGGCAAAGTCCTGAAGTATCCTGAGAATGTTATGAGGTACTTTTTAAAAATACAGACCCCTCATTCAACCACAGTTGAGTAAGATGAGTCTCAGGTCACTAAAGTTTCAGATCCATTGTTCTAGAAGATGCCATCTTTTTAAGTTCCTTTGGCTTTTTTCTAAATGTTATATTTTTTTGTGGGTCTATGTGAAATCTTACGATAATTTATAATTTCTTCCTCCTGTGCTATATAATATACATAATCCTCCTGACTTAGCCTCTGAGCTCAAGTAAATGTGCCTGAGTTGTTTTGTAGAGTCAGACTTCTAATATTTCGAATTAAAATTATACATAATCATGGGGCGCCTGGGTGGCGCAGTCGGTTAAGCGTCCGACTTCAGCCAGGTCACGATCTCGTGGTCCGTGAGTTCGAGCCCCGCGTCAGGCTCTGGGCTGATGGCTCAGAGCCTGGAGCCTGTTTCCGATTCTGTGTCTCCCTCTCTCTCTGCCCCTCCCCCATTCATTCTCTGTCTCTCTCTGTCCCAAAAATAAATAAACGTTGAAAAAAAAAATTTTAAATTATACATAATCAGCTAAAAGCATCTTATCAGTATCTCATGAGTTATACTGTCTTTATCCTTATCAACAACAATGAACAGGCACTGGGAAAATAATCTTCTAATGAAGAATTTACTTTCCCATCAGACACATGAAAATGTTCACTCTTCTCTACAATGTGCTGGTATGATGGCAACTGACTCTAAGGTGATCTTGTGTAGCTCAGAGTGTTAGAAGAATGCAGACCCATTTGGTTTCCCCATTTTTCTACCTTAAATGCAGTTACAGAAAGACATTTTGAAAGGTTTTAAAGACAGGCAAGGATAAGACTAGAGGTGGGTGGTTAACAATCTGACCCCACTCTCAGGATCCTTCCTCTTAAGAAGCTACAAAAGTGAAGCTGTCCCATCAGGAGAATAGTGACTGTATAACATGATTTGAATCAAAATGCAGAAATGGTGGCTTGGCTTCCAGGGTACACATGATAACTGTAAAACTCAACTCATTTTTATATGAACAGAGTGTTCCTATATCCATTCAGTCAGTTGGCCAGTTGGCTCATCTGCCAGGTAACACATATGCAACAGATACAAGAAAAAGGTAGAGTTCCTGTGTCCCCCAATTCTCTACCTCTTGGAAGAGACACCCAGGTAGACAATTGCCAGTGATGATTTATTAGCTGAGAAAGCTAACAAAATGGTGTGGAAAGCAGAGGGAGGAAACAGAGGCCAGACTATTGCTTATAGTTTCTTAATTCTCACAACAGCTTTGTGGAGTAGGCAGTGCAGATATAGCTTCATTTTACGGATGAGAACATTGGGATTAGAAAAGGTATTTAAATGATGTACAATCCCACAATACAGCTGGAAGCTGGAAGCCAGAACCTGAAGTTGGCTGACTCTCCACCACTGTACCTGCTGCCTCTTCCAGTGTACCCTCTTCCTCTGGTTCTTACTCTTACTGAATAGTCGCTTCTGAAGGTCAAAGGAAAGATCATTCTTTTTCCTTTTCCGGTCACTGTACTTTTCCTTGTGCTCATGACACCTCACCTTGCTTCATTTCAGGGAAGCTTTAGGCTGAATGCAGTTTTCGTAGCATACTGCCTCGTAGTGCAGTATTCGCTGAATACTACTATAAAGTCAGAATGATAGAGCTATTATTCTCTTACATTTTTCACCTAGATGAAATACCTGTTTAGAATACTAATTTGGCTTTCCAGCCCAAGCCTGCAGTGTATTTGTTGTTGTTTGAATGTATCTTGGTTTTGCTTTGCTGCATTCAGTTAGTAGACAGCATACACATAAGCAAGGACACAAGTAATTGCAAGAATATTACAGAGGAAACGTGCAGAACTGCTCTTGTCCGATGGAGGGACAATGAATTCAGGGCACAGGGTGCTTCCTCTGAAGAGGTGTGAGTCCCTCTACGTATACCCCAGTTCACAGGGGGATTGTGTGCTTTCTGAAAAACTGGTGAGGGTCTTGGGAAATGAGTAACCCTACTGCATGCCACTTACCTTGGCTAGGGTTCTCTTGAAAACCTATCACTTAAGGCCAAAAGCTAAATTTTTCATGAGAAACTAGATTTCCTTTCCTTTCCTTTTCTTTTTTTCTTTTCTTTGTTTTTTTAAGAGAAAGAGAGAGAAAGTGTGTACGTGAGAGAAAGAGAGTTGCAGAGGGGGCAGAGGAAAGGGGTGGAAAGAGAAAGAGACAGAGAAAGAGAGAATCTTAAGCAGTCTCCATGTTCAGTGTGGAGCTAAGCTTCCTTTCTTCTACAAAAGACATTATCCTTTATTTTAGCTTCCTCTCCACCCACCCACCCATCCATCCATCCATCCATCCATCTAACCAACCATCCATCCATCCAACCATCCAACCATCCATCCGTCCATCCATCCGTCCATCCATCCGTCCATCCATCCG